GAGTGTGGTGCGGTCTCGAAAGAAGGAGCGAGAAGCCCCCGAGTCAAGGGTGAAGGTGTGGGAGGCCGAAGCCGACGCAGAACCTGAGAGAGCAGACTCACCAGCACCTGAGGGAGCAGACGCACCTAGAGCAGCAGCCTCGCTAGCACCTAGAGCAGCAGCCTCACCAGTACCTAGAGCAGCAGTCTCAATGCCCGGGTCGGGCGGAAAACACCGGTAACAGTCACCCTCATCACTAATAGTCACAGTATACATGGCAGCAAGAATAGCATCAAAGTCAAGGTCAAAGACAGCTACACCCGCCCTAGACAGCTCACCCCAGCGGGGGATCTCAGTGGCCTCGGGGAACTGGTGACGCCAAGCGTCCGTCAGGCGGCCAAAGCAGCGCTGGGTGGAGTGCGCACCCCCGCACTGCTCACCCGCGCGGTCGCCGGTGCGTAGGACGTAGGTGCACGGACCAGTACCCCCACCCCTCTGGCGTGCAGCGTACCACTCACGGAGCTGCTGAGGGGAGGGGATGTCACGAGTGCGCTGCTGCTGCTGCTGCTGCTGGCGCTGACCACCACCGGAGCCGACCCTCTGCACAGCGCCACCCCGACCAGCTCCACCTCCTCCGCCGCCTCCTCCTCCACCGCCGCCACCTCCGCTCCCACCGCCACCGCCGCTGCCGCCTCCGCCTCCACTGCCGCCACCGACACCTCCACCCCCGCCACCACCCCCACCGCCACCCCCACCCTCTCCACCGCCTCCACCGCCGCCTCCACCGCCCCCGCTACCTCCTCCAGCGCCCCTGCCCCCCTTGCCCTTGCCAGGGCGGCGTCTCCCGCTAGGGGTAGACGCTGCACCAACCGACTCCAAACAGCGAGGTCGGCCGCAGCAGCAGAGGCAACAGAGGGCAAAAGAGGGGAGGGGGAACACCCCTCAAAGATGGGGGTGCGAGGGTCACCACGAGAGGCTCCTACAGCGACTATGCTCTTTTCTGCTGCTAGGAGGGCCTTCTCGAGGAGGTCAACGGTGAGAGTGGTGGGGCAAACTGAGAGGAAGTGGTCCCTGACTACGCGAAGGGAGTCAGGGAGACAGGTGACTATGTAGTAGAGGGTGATGTACATGGGGGGGGGGTTCTTGGCGCAGAACTCAGCAGGAAGCGCAGCGCGGTAGCGAGTGTCACTAGTGCGGAGGTGCGTAATGAGGTCAGCGACTGTGGGAAAGGCAGCAAGGTCAGGGAAGAGGTACGGTAGCATGAGGCGGCTCAGTGCAGCAGCGGCAGGGGAGGAGTAGCGTGCAACTACAGCGTCGTACAAGGTCTGAGCACTCTTGTACTGGCTAAAGTGCGCACGCTCAGAGGTAGGCAGGTGGCGACGCACAGCAAGACGTGCAGCAGCATCGCGCGTGGCCCACTGTGAGCGAACAGTGGCGTCAGCATCAGCAGCGGGGGCAGGAGAGGCACCAGAAGTGAGGTCAAAGAGGGAGAGGCTGTCTGCCCTATCGCACTGTAAGAAAAGCTGCAGGTCATCTATCCAGACTTCAAAGTCAATGGCCCGACCCTCAGCGTCAAAAGCGAGGACACTAGGGGTAGCCATGACAGCAGTAGACTAGCAGCGCAAACAGTAGGGTGAGGGCAGTGCTGTGAGAGAGGCGCTGCGCTTACCGGACAGGGCGGCTCGACCGGCTCGGCTGCAGGGCGGTTCGGCGACTCGGCGGCTGGGCGGCTCGGCGGCTCGGCTGCTGGGCGGCTCGGCTGCTGGGCGGCTCGGCGGCTCGGCTGCTGGGCGGTTCGGCGACTGGGCGGCTCGGCTGCTGGGCGGCTCGGCGGCTGGGCGGCTCGGCTGCCGGGCGGCTCGGCTGCAGGGCGGCTCGGCTGCTGGGCGGCTCGGCGGCTCGGCTGCTGGGCGGCTCGGCTGCTGGGCGGCTCTGCGGCTGGGCGGCTCGGCTGGGCCGCTGAGAGGAGGCGGCGGGGCCGCAACGGTGGCGGGGCCGCTGGTAGGCGTCGAGGCCGCGAGGGCGGCTCGACGCGACGGAGCCGCGAGGGCTGCGGATCGGGGCCGCGAAGGGCGGGGGATCGGTGCCGCGGGGGCGGCGGATCGGGGCCGCGAGGGCGGCGGAGCAGGGGCCGCGAGGGCGGCGGATCAGGGGCCGCGAGGGTGGGGCCGCGGGGTCGGGCGACGGAGCCGCGAGGGCGGCGGATCGGGGGCCGCGAAGGGCGGCGGATCGGGGCCGCGGGGGCGGCGGATCGGGGCCGCGAGGGCGGCGGAGCAGGGGCCGCGAGGGCGGCGGATCGGGGCCGCGAGGGCGGCGGATCAGGGGCCGCGAGGGCGGCGGATCGGGGCCGCGAAGGGCGGCGGCCGGCGCCGCGAGGGTGGCGCGAAGGGGCCGCGAAGGGCGGCAGCCGGCGCCGCGAGGGCGGCGCGAAGGGGCCGCGAGGGCGTTTGCGAAGGGGCCGCGAGGGCGGCGCGAAGGGGGGGCCGCGAGGGCGGCGCGAAGGGGCCGCAAGGGGCCGAGAGAGAGGGGAGCGCGACTCGGGCAGGGGCTGAGTGCGCTCCGGGCAGGAAAAAAAAAACGGTGGGCCCTAGGAACAGTTCCCACGAGGGAACCTGCTCGATACCATGAGAAAACTGAAACGAAAATGAAATGACTAAGGAAAGGTTGGGTACAAAATACAAACCCTAGAGAACTGTACCCCATATGTGCTACCCCACTATAGCCTACAGTAACTATGTCATATAAGTCTGACAATGGACTGTATCAGGCTGCATGCCATCGCACCTACTCTTCAGTTGAATGTTCAGATACACCATGAGTGTCGCTACGAATAGTAACAATAATGCATGCGTGGGTACAGAGTTGACTAAAAGCGGCAAACGGTTAGCGGGAGTCTGGTATGTCAGAGCACGCGGCATTGGGCAGCTGCAGGCAAGATGGATGTGGCAATAACATTTGGGTAACTGTACGCGCCGCACGGTTGGCGGTGATTTTGAATAAGGGAAGGTACGCATTAGAGTAACTGGCTAGATTGGTCGATTCGAAATTGGTGTTGGAAACAAGAGATTTAAGCGCCTCTGTAGTGTCAGCAACCTTTGACGTGACAACAAGTACAGCGCGACAGCAAGGACAAACAACGGACTCGCTATTGAGCAGTTGCCCGAGTCGTCACTGTAACGAACCGCACCAGCAATAGTCAAACAGTTATTGCTAGGATCTCTTCATATTCCTTGTACTCTTTCTAAAGCCTTGTATCTATTTTACTATGCTTCCCAACATACACAAACATCGGGCGCCTCAGTAGATTTGTTTTCGACCATCTAGTTGAGGTATGTCTACGTTTCATACGTTGAAACATATATAGGGGAGACGCATAGAAGCTGTGCATTACTGATCCATGAGACGGGTCATTACTGATCCTTGGGTCGATCCATTACTGATCGTAACAAAGAAGGTCACAAGTCGATAGAACATATGGCTGACTAATGTGCAAGGCAGGGGTTATTGTTATTTACATATGTGGCATGTACTTGGCTGGCTAGGTGATGGCCCATGTGGTTGTTCTAAAACGTTGCACGATTAATTTTGAATATACCCATGAAGCCTCTGGAGATTACACGGCCCTTGTCTGAGTCATAAGAGACCGATTATTATTACCTGATACGTCTTTGATGTTTCCTTTTGTTGATAATTGAAAACTTAATACGTATTGTTGGAGCTGGGGTTCGAGAGTGATCCGCGATTATCACGTGATGCCTAAAGCGAAGACGCAATGGCTGGCAACTATCATCGTGGGGACAACTTTGTGACGAATCAATTAAGCCCGACTAAGGGTTTCACGAGCAGTTTACTCTCGTATTGCAGTGGTTCGATTTCAGCGTGACTTTCCACGAGGACAACACTTGTCATTCACTGTTTTGGTACTACGTGTCTACTATGGTTTAGGTCGCGTCATTCTGATACGTGGCGGTCTCCGAAACAACCATATGTAGGAATGGTGCTTGTGAGGCGAAAGAATCACGATGCATCCACTCCTCGATCGCCCGTGACAAATGGGTTGTACTCCTGCGTGGTGGATTCTTGGTGAGCATCTCGTGAGCCCCTCAACCAACCCCTTTCACTCCCGACGTTTTTGGCAGTTGGGCATCGCGGAACACCCTTCATACCCGTGTGGATATTAACCCTTGTGATGGGCATATTAGTGTTTTGCTTGGGATTTCCCCTCGGGTTCTAATGTAGTTTAAATAATGAGAATTGTATTGGTTTGCAGTACCTCGTAAGGTATAGGGTTACGTATTGACCGGACTCCACAGTTTTTTGTATTGGAACACATCGGTAAACTTGAACGTCACGCTTAGGATTTTACTAGAGGTTTACTCGTGTTTCACTAATACTTGGCGAGCGTACCGTTCGACCTTACGTCTGTATGATGACTGTACGGCCTGTGCCTCGTGGGCTGTTCACGTAATGCAGACTGCGCACTTGCGGGTCGGTGGTGTGTTCGCGGTGAGTATCGCGTGAGGCACTTACATCGACCGATCTTTGCCCCACAATCCTGTGACTAGGGGCTGACGGAACACACACTGCTGCTTTGCGGAACTTTGTTAGGGTCTTGCCTGATGACTCATGGCCTTTACTATCGCTTCGCCCTTATGTGATGATTTAAATACAATGCAATCTTCTTTCTTGTTTGTGTAGTACCTCTAAGGAGCAGATACTACTGCATAATGCCACAATAAGCAAGATGATGGCAACCACTACTACTACAGCTGGTTCAGATCCAATAGTGATCCAATAGTGAAATCCCCGTGAAGCTTTACTTATGCACCAAAATTAATGTTGTTAATTGAAGCATCTGGAGCACTGTGCGTGCATTATGCTACGCTGAGCTAGATGATGAAAGTGTACACAGAACCTGAACGAAGCACACACTAGTTGCACCGTGTGGTACTTATGCCTAAAGGCACAAAGACACCGTCTGAGAATCTCAAAACACTCCCCGATCCGGAGAGAACCCCGAACTAACCATCCTTAGATCCCGACCCCTCCTGGTGAGATGCAGTCTCAGCCCCGGCATTTCCTCCAGCTTCCTTACGGGCAATTTTGTCGGCCCGAGCCTCAGCCTCATCCAAGCTGGCGTTTATTGCAGCTCTCTTTTTTTCGTCCCTGCGCACTTTCTCGGCCCACTTTGCCTTCGCTGCAGGCCAATACTTCCTCCACTCCTCCCACATGTGCCAGAACTTCATCCGGACCATCACCTCACACTGGTGTGCGGAACAATCTCTGAGCTTTGCCTTGTCGGCGGCGGTCAAGGGAATGAGCTCCCCACGCGTTGGCTTGTCAACGAACATCACGTGCGACGCTGCGGCTATTGACCTTGCCGCCTCTTCCTCCGATTCAAAGTGGCTGTTGATGACGATCAGCGATTGTGATGCACGGTCTAGGACGATCCTGGCGATCCACTCGTCCTTGTCCAGCTTCTTTGTGACGCCCGTCCACCCCTTTTTGCCGGGCACCTCACTGATCTCCCCTCCCTGGGTCGTGGGCACCATAGATGAGGAGGCTGCAGGTGAGGGCAGTACATGTTGGGACCCCTGCATAAAACCGGAGAGCATGCTCGATAGACCCAGACCACGAGACGCGGATGTGTGACCTGGTTGGCAGTTGGTATCGTCGAGCACCTCATCAGAGGCGAGGAAAGTAGCAGACTGATGCAGCGGGGGACGAAGCGTCGAAAGTGGCAGTTGCACGAAGTCGTTTGGCTGTACAGAACCGGGGTAAACCGCGCTGGGAGGTTGCTGTGCATGGCCAATCGGCCATGAATGTGCGGCGGATGCTGTGGCCACCGGCTGAACAGCGCCTGCATGCTGCGCAAACCCCACCGCAGATGGTGCGCGTACACACTGCATATGCGCCCCTGGGTGAAAGGCAGATGGGGCAAAAAACTGTTCCCCCGAAGACCATACAGAAGAACCCCTTTCAACATCAGGTGCCCTTGCAGTGCCCGCCGCCGCAACCGACCATTGAGCACCCTGGACCTGCACACCTTCGTGAAACATGGTGAGTTCCGTCGGGGGTCCCACTAGGTCCCATGCATCGTTTGTGGGCTGAACCACAGCTGCTTCGATAGGCCGCCCAGTGGCTGCTTGACCCCGTGCCGCTGCTGAATGAACACCGGCTGATCCAGCTGGCGGCCCCGCGGCAGGTGCTGGAACATCGGCTGCTGAACCCCATAAACCCGCGGCGCCAGTCGGAACACCGGCTGCTGCCGTTGCGTGACCGGCCGATGCCGTAGGAACACCGGTTGCTGGACCTGCATGACCCGCGGCTACAGTTGTGAAACTAACGGCAGCACCTGTCTGGCCCGTAGAGACGGTAGGAACCACGGCTGCTGCACCTGTCTGACCAGTCGGTACGGTAGGAACACCGCCTGCTGCGCCCGTCTGACCAGCAGCAGCTGCAGGAAGTGCACCTCGCAGACTTGCTGCCGCTGCTGGCATTACCGCTGCTGCACCTGGCTGTCCAACCCCTTCTGCCGAAGCACCGGCAGAGGCACCTGGCTGCCTTGGAGCAGATGGAAGAGCACCATCAGGTGCACCTGCATGCGCCGCTGAAGCTCGCTGAGCACCTTTGCCAGGCCACCTGCTGCTGTAGTAACACCTGCTGCAGGAACCGGCTGACCATGCGTGGTGCTAGAAGGGACGGCCGCGAGACCAGAGTGACCCGCCGCGGACTTTTGTGCACCGGGTGTGGCTCCCTGGCCTTGGACATAACATGGCGTCGTCGCGGAAATTGTTGGGCGCGCATGTGACGGAGCGGAGGTGGAAGCGTGGGGAACACCGCTCATGTTCACCGGAGCTTCGAATGATGCTCTGGCCGTACGATGGGGCGGAGGGGCTGTAGCCGTAGAGGTGGTGGGTTCGTCGCTGTTCAAAACCTCCACGCCACCCGTCGGCAGCTTGAACCCTGTCTTGGCAGCCATCTGCTGGAAGGCCGTGAAGAGTGACGACATCGTCATAGTCACTTTGTCGAGCCCCTTTTCTCCCTTGTAAACAGAGTCTTTCAGAGACTCCATGTCTTCATGCAGGCCCTTGAGCTGTGCAGCATGAGAACACTGCTCCGCCGCCAAATCCTGGATGGTTGGCTCCTTTATCTCCTCAACTCCCTGGTCGCTATCACTCTCGTCCACCCCGTGCTGATCACTCTGTGGGGGAATGTTGCCCCCCTTCAGTGCCAGCGATTCCAGCAGTGTACCTTTAGCAGTGCCTCGCACATCAGACCACGAATTCCGCGCCTGCATTGCGCAGCACTGTAACGAGGATGATTGATCCCTTCTTCCATGAATTGGAAAGCTCGGCCCACAAGCTCCTTGGAGAACATACAGACGTAGACCCCGCAGTCCACACTGTTCTGTTGCTGGGGTACCTCGAAGTCTTGCAGTACAAAGCATAAGAGTAATATCAAAACCAGTTAAGACATGCGTGGTAAACCGAGTCCTGCATGTCTGCTGCATCAGGACGGTAAACACCAGTGTGGCATACTCACTTCAAGCGCACGCTGCTCACGCGTGTGACCCTCTCTGTCACAACCACCCATGGCATATCAGGGTTGGCCTTTTTAAGGGCCCTCATAAGCAGCCTGCGGATGCATAACGAGGGAAAGGGGATTATGAAAGCGAGGATTAGACGTGGTGTACAAAAACCGGTGTCTCGCCCCAACGAAAGAAGAATCACGCTGAACTCACTCGTTGATGTTTGTGAATATTGCCTCGCACATGTCATAGTGCAAGCGCGCTGGGTCGTACAGTACTGCTTTTACGGGTACTGGTGGCGTCAAAGCATCGTATTCCTCCTTACTAAGCAGCAGCAGACGGGGGTCCTTGACAACGACCAGGCTGAAATGATGAACAGGAACTCTGCAAAAAAACATTAAGCAAAGGATGTATGGTTATGCATGCCACGGAGTGGTACAGCTGGTTGTCGAATACGATCTCCATGCCTTCCATAATTTCTGAAACTCTTACTTGGTGAAAACCACAATGCAAAGATAGTCGTGCTCGAAGAGAAGTTTGCAATCGACGCCGCATGCTAGCTCCTGTCCCTCGGTGATGGTTTGGTAGGCGAGCGTGTCAAGAGCCAACCAAGTTTTCCCGTCAGGTAACTGCTTGTGAAGAAGGCTCAAAACCCTTGAAGAATACGTACAAGACACGTCATGTACACGATGAAGAGGATTAAGTAAAACAAGGCACACGCTGAACGTGACTCACACGTGGTAAAAGTCGATGGTTGACGTTGTCAGCTCGTATCCATCCTGTATGTGGAGGGCATCCATGATAGTCACCTTCGCTCGCTGGTCGTGATGGTTTTTTATCTCACGGGAAGGGAAATGGTCACTCTTAACCGACCTAGGTAGCTTATCGGTCGCGCAGTCTGGAACTCTGACTCCCTTAGCGAACCTCGATATTATGTCGTCTGGCTCGGGGAGCACTTGCACGCCTTCTAATTTAACGGGGACCTTGAATTCAGGGCACGGAGCCGGCTTACTACCGCTCCGGTTTGTTCGTCTCGCCCGCGCGACGGGTGCCTGGCTACTAGCAGGTGGTTGGCCCTTGTTGCGCGCGGCCAGCCTAGTTTGCGTCATGGTGCAGAGGCGGATTTTAGACCAAGAGTGGAGATGAGTATGCTATGCTAAGAGTCTTGGGTGAATGAAAAGTAAGAGCAACAATGGTGGCCGCTCAAAGCCGCCAATACTCTTGGCTCACGAGATGGTGGTAATGGTGACTGGGTGCTCAAGAGACGTAGACGGGGGGGAAGCCGAGGAGAAGTAATGACGAAGGAAGGACAGACTGTTGCATTGTGGATGCAACGGTGCTTAACCCGCCCAGTGAAGTCCAAGGTGGCACGCTGTTATTGACTGAAACCCTGACATTGAGGGTTCTCGAATGTCACGCGAGGCAACTTCGTGCACGCGTCCTGTGCAAGATATTTCCGTGCCAATTTCATCATTGCCACCGCTGTCGACTAAGCGGTGGTGGACAGCGCACAGATAAAGACAAAGATGTAATGATGTGTGCAACATTAACAAAGAAATGTGCGCCTGCCCACGAAATCACTGAAAGTGTACTAAAGTTATTTTTGATGGGGAAAACTGACCGCGGGAATCGGGCGCGGTCGCGTGGGGGGGGCAGTGGGAAAACCACTGCCCGTTGGAATGGAGACGAGAAAGCACCGCGGTTCGTCATTTCCTCGATTGAGCAGCAGCTCTCAATTCCAAGCAATCGAGCGCCACCCTCGTTTGCACGCAATCCCTTCCTCCACCTTCGGCACATTCCATACAAGCAACCCACCCACCTCATCTTCGAGGCATCGATTCTGCACTTCTCGCCATTTTTCTTCTCGCCATCTCTTCTCAATGCTCACTTCGCTCACCAGTTTCGATTATTCCTTAGTTGCTCGTTCACCTTAGAACCCATCGAGTTAAACGTTCGTTATAGTTCCTGTTCACAGGCCGAACACTTCGTTGGCCGACGCGGGTCTTATGCCACCTGTCTGGCGCTGAGCTTCTGATCGTGCGTTGTGTCGCCTTTTCTGTAGTTCATAGCAGTTTCTGCATTCTTGGCTGTTCTTATCTTACGCTCTCTGTCAGAGAGGTTCTCACGTTCGTTAATTTGGCGCCGTTTCTGTGTTTCCGGCTGTTCTAATCTCGCTTATTGGTTGATTCTTGTGCCAGGTTTGTCAAGCTTGTTATTATGTTCGCAGGTGTTGCATGCTTCTGGCGCTAGCTAACTGGATGGGATCACCTCAGTATCAGGACGTCACGGTAAGTGTTGTTTCAGACTTTCAGTACTTTTGTTTGTTTTACCGTGGCGTCGTTTCTCTCTGCAGGTGGATTTATTTGTAATTTCAAGTGCAACGCTCGTGCTCAGCTCTCTTAAGACGAGTGAACATTCCAGCAACCATTTCATGCACTGTGACTTCAAAGTGCAAGACTCGTGGTAGCTACTGTTATTGAATCATGTGTACTTTAGGTAGCAAATATGAATATGTATGTGCTTTATTTAAATATATCAGAATTTTCGCAACCAATTTCAAAAAAGCAATTTTATAAAATGAACGTGCATTGTAGCTGTCACACTGGATGCATACCGTCACATTTACGGTCACATAATAAATGGACATATATGTTCGTCAAATTTGTGACCATAAATGCTCCTACTATTCAGTTGCATTTACAGGCAGACAATACATGGAAGTTTCTAGTCCTCAAGTACATGACCATACACGACCACGTCATGAATGGCTGTTCTAGTCAATATACAGCCGGGCAATTCACGGGCCCAAAACGCCTACGAAGCAGCCTGCATACAGCCCGCCAATTTAAGGCCATAAACCCGCCATATGCATGGCGATTATGGCTGTAAATTGCCATTCTTAAGGGCCACTTTTTTGAGATGGAAACCAGCTCGGCTGACTTATAGAAACAACTATAGAAGCAGCTAGCATTCAGCACGTAATTCACCAGTAGCTTCACTCGTGCGAGCATTCGGATGCAGTGATTCGCTGCAGCATCGACAAGCCCAGAGCTACTTGTTGTACCTCCCAAGCAGCCATGGCCCACACGCCGCTACGACCCGCGCTCGTCCTCGCTGGTGAGTTATCCGATAATCTCACCGCCGCTATACTCTGACCTTGCCATGTCGCTTGCTCTCCGTAAGCGCCGCCGATTGTTTGAAAAATCTGTCCGCTCGCCGTTTAGACAAGAAATCATTTCTCATAATGACTTTTGTCGTTTGTCCCGTGTGGCAGTGCTGCTCTCGCTCGCCTGCAGCACCATCGCCGGCCGCTGCCAGCTCCAAACCGTCACCATCTATCGCTGTAAGACTCCCTACTATTGTGCTCTACGACTTCCTACCTATTGTGCTTCACGTCGCCCTGTCTGGTTGCACGCCTCGTCACGCAGAACGAATCATCTGCAATAGTGCTCTAACGGTTGAAATGGACACTGCACCGTCTCGTGCTCCATCCGCAAATTGCGCGGCCCGCAATCTGGGGAGTCCCAGCATCGTCTCGTGCTCCCAGCACCGTCTCATGCACCTAGTAGCTGTCAGAATCCCAACCACTAGACCATTGGGATAAAAGGGCTTGTTTCAGTAGCGGGTCAGTGCGCCCATAACCCCCCAGGCGAACGCGCCTGTAACCCTCTCCAGGATCAATCGGGCATCCACAGTGCAGATCTACTGACACCCCCCCACACTGGGAGGCCCAGGACTAAGCACAGCGGCAACGGCCTACATATGCATACACCGGGAATCGAACCCGAGACCGCTCTGAAACAATGTCAGAATCCCAACCACTAGACCATTGGGATAAAAGGGCTTGTTTCAGTAGCGGGTCAGTGCGCCCATAACCCCCCAGGCGAACGCGCCTGTAACCCTCTCCAGGATCAATCGGGCATCCACAGTGCAGATCTACTGACAGTAGCTTCTCATGCTTGCTCATGCTGCCATCTTCTCCACTGGTGCTCCGTTTTTCCTCGTCTTGCCTATCGTTCCTCTTGTCGCACAGACGAAGCATGGTCAACACTCTCCTCGAGCACTGGTGCCCTGACTGGCTCGTTTGCGATGCGTGCTGACGTGTAAGCGCCATGTTGATGATTACATGTCGTAGGATCCATTCAGACGAGTCTTTGAATGTGCAGACGAGGCTCCGCACGAGTAATAGAGCAGCGAAAGCTGTACTAGTAGCAGCAAGACCGCTTTTCCTATTGTGCTCTCACATAATCTGCAGATCTCCTTCCAAACGCTCTCCCCGCCCGCCCTCTTCGCTCTCTCCTCTGCAGCACGCCTCTTTCCCAACCGTTCAAATTCAACTTCACCGTTGCCGGCATAGCCGCGGGCAATACACCAAGTGTCAGCGCTCCCGGTTTTCTACAAAAGCGACACGGGGGCTCTAGTAATGTCAATTCCGTGCACTGCCACCGCAGACACCACAAAGGGCACATGGACCTGCATCACCTCCACTTCCGCTAGCCTCAAATCGCCCTTCCAGGTTGTCGATCCACTCAAGCCGTTGATTGACGCAAAGGTGTTTACCAAACCCGCAAACTTCTTCGTTAGCGTTTCTGTTGATGGCGTCCCTGTGAATGTGAAGTTCGGCGGGAAGATTACTTACATCTACAAATAGTGTTTAAAGCTGCGATCTACATACTTCGAGCGGGGGGGTCTGGTTTATCACTTGAACACCAGGTGACCAGGTTTTTCACTCGGCCCCTTAGCCTGCAAATAGAACGGTTGAGGGGGGT